TGCGGAAGTCCGTCAATGGCCCGGCAAGTTCAGCAAGGCTCACGGCCCATGTTGCCATAATCGCATGGGTCGCCGCCGCTCTCCGAGCTGCCCGGATTTCCCCTCTTTGACTAGGATGTTGGAACAAGCATCCGCTGCTGTCGTTTATTGAATTTGATTTGCTGATAAGGCATAGGTGGAGTTTCTGTCCTCTCTGTTCTGCATAGCTGAATGGGAAATCATGTCCATCAAGTCATCGTCCTCGTGGCTGAGCTTCATGGCCCACCAATGATGAATGTCTTAACACACAAGAAAACGATGAAGGGCCTGAGGGGTCAGTCGAGCACAGTGCTGGATTACCAGATGGGTCTCTCATTCATAAGAGCTTCTCTCTACGGTTCCTGATCCATGGCCGAATGTCCTCGGGTCTGTGAGTTACGCTGTGGCGGTCTCGACGAGCCACTTGCCAGGTATCATGTCTCACTTGAGATCAGTTTATCTCTGCTACTGTTACCTCTCTCTCCCTTGAGAAGGACTCGGCGGCAAGGTAGCCTCCCGCGAGATTCACTGACGCTCAGACAAAGTACAAGCTCTCTCTGGGTCCAGAATTTCCCGCCTTTGTTGAGCCTTTAACAATTGACCGGCTGCTCCAGCTTGATACAAAGTTTCGATGGTCTTTTTCATAATTTCCACTCAACCACCAAACCTTGGGCGCCGGCTCAGCCACCCGTTTCCCCAAGACATGTGACTTTTTTCAAGTAGTACTATAGTTTTTCCTTACTGCCCTCTCTCTCAGTCAAGACACCGATGTTTGCTTTCCTCGCTCCAAGTCTTCGCACTTATTATCAAGCCTTTGAATACGATGCCACTGCCTAGCAGTCTCCCACGTCAACTATTTCCTACATATGACTATCACGAGCCCGGCAACAGTGGCAGTGGCACTTCTGTTCAATTGCCTTTGACCCATTCTTGATGCCCAGCGAATCTATCGAAAGTCAACACAAAAGGTCAAGGGTCTTGCTCGGAGTGTTAATCCAGCTGGCAAACTCTAAAACTATCAACAATACATTGTTCACGACCCAAAAGTACCTACCGCATCATACCGAGGCACCGATAAAGGGTCTGACCGGTTGAAGCTGGGTTTGACACCATTTTGACCAGGGTGGTACGTCTGTGGGCGGGGATCTCTTGTTACTACTACCTTAGTGAGAAGACAAGTTTTTTTCATGGTTCTTCCTCGGAGCGGCGCGACATCCCGACACCGATAATCGCGATCATGGAGATAAACAACCAGATATCTGATAAAACTGGTCTAGAAACGAACAGCCTCGAGATATGCAAACTTAGCGAGCCTGTGGTGTAGATCTTGTGCTGCCCACCAAGCCGACACTACTGTACTGTATGTGTGTCTACATGGTCCTTACACACCGTTGACCGGGACCTTATGCAAGATGCACAACAAGCTCAGCCAACCAGGGCCAGTGTGACAGGGCCAGGCTGCCACTCCCTCTTAAGGTGCATATCGATGCATACATAAACAAGCTGGTCCTGGGATGTGCATAAGTGGATGTATGATATTCTTCGATGCATATGATTCACATAATGCCACGAGGCTGAGCCTTAGGAACGTCATCCCTTGGCTTGGCTCTTTCGGTTTTTTTTTCCCTCTGGGGTTTATTTTAATCGCGTTAGAGAATACGTGGAGAAGACTAGCAACTAACCCAACTACCTTACCTTACGAAAACTGAATGAACCTCGCTCCCCACTCATGATAGATCTTGTTACTGACCACCAGTAAAACAAGTTTCCGAAATCCTCGGTCAAGACAATGCCATATGACCCTCGTGCCCGTTGCATCTACATTGTTCACGTAAATCTGGCTGTTTAAAATGTATCTCGGCCGCACATGCTTAAGCGCCTGGCAATGAATCACTACCTGCCTCATATGGCAAATGGCACAGGTGTTCGGCTTTTTTCCTCGATCTCTCCGATAGGGGATAACTGAGGCGTGTGACGAAATCTACCTCCAGTCAACCACGACACCCCGAAATCGAGTCTCCGCTGGGGTTTCGCTCCGAGGTAAATTTCCATCATGAGGGTTGTAGCCTGTGTTTATATGAGTGTCTCGCCAAAGTGAGATCTAGCTTTTTGTTCGTTGGTTGACTCTTCGAGAATTCAACACATTTGTGGAGAACGGTTAGTTGGCATGGATAAGCGATAGAGCGTACACACAACGGGCATAGATAATGTAAAACGTGAGTAATATTTCTAGAAATTTACCCTAAACAGCGGCGCATAACTCTTCTGTTGCACTACACACTGAGGTGCCTAATGTACACAGGCTAGTGAGCGTACTGCAGCCTCATGCACGATTTCCGCCGAGGGCATGATGGGATATCATCGGTTCCTGCAGCCGAGAGAAAAGAGAAGGCTGGGCAAGAGGCTAACACGGGTGCTGGCGGACCCTAGAGACGACAATGGGTATGTACATAGTATGTATGTACGAGGGAGATCAACCTCGCAGGTTATTCCTTGTCGCAATGGTCCATTCGTACCAAGTCGGCGAGGCTGGGGTTTGGCGCCAAACAAGTGACTCGGCGGCAACCATTCGGAGGAACTCGACAATACGCACGATCCTGGTCGATCTAAAGTGAAACTTTCTTAAGGGGCTATGGGATTATCTCATAGGCTTGGACTAACCCACGTATGTATGTTGCCTCAAGATATAACTAGGACAATGTTTATGTAGGGTTGATGCAGGTACCATGAGATGCATGTCGAGAACAGCTTAGAACAGATATCAGTTTAGAACATGAGACGCAAACTCGGGTCTGGAGCCGGCTGGTTTCACATTAGGGACTTAACACTAAGAGACATATGGTTGCGAGTCGATGTACAATCTGACAGGTAAGCTGTCAGTCTGGGATACATGCATATTTTGACTGAAATTGCTTTTTCTTTTCCACTTCCTCTCAGCCAAGTAGCACACAATTCAATAACTGTACTTGAAAAGAAAAGAAAGAGAGCAAGAAGCAAGAAAGAAAGAATGTAAAATAAGTACATAAAGTAAAATAAAAAGTCACGTCCTTGATAATCAGTTTGCCTCGGTATCTCATCAAATTGTCGAAACTCGCAACTTGATACCCAAATGGTTAGTTATCCTTCCACGTTCTTTCTTTTTTTTCTCTCCCTCGTCGAGTCTCGCTCCGAGGGACGTCAACATCCGAACACATCAAACGGGAAGGAACAAACGGCGCACTGTGGCAGGCATTTCCGGGCAAAGTACCGATACTTCCACCATGGAACATTAGGTACCCCAAAAAGAATGGAACCCTCGATCTCTTCCCGCCTCTAGTCTCCACCACCAACCATTGCCAGCCGTTATAGTCGCAAATCCAACCCGCCTCATATATCGAACGAGGAAGAGGCAAAACATGTGGTTGTTGTCTCTCTTTACTTTTGGAGCAATCCTCACGCCTTGGCCTAAAGTCAATGATTGAATAGGATACTCGAGGATATCTACCTCTCTAGAGACAAAATCTCCAAGTTGGGGACGTACTCTTCATGCTGGCTTCCAGCCGTTACTTGAGCTAGTAGGGATGTGGAGCAAGAAAGTTTTTTCTACATAGACGCCAGAGAAATTGTGGTCACTGATATCAATTGTCTGTTCGCTAGCTTTCTACCGTTGTTCTGGTGTCTTTGCTATGTTCCAGCGAGTTGTTGCTTTTGTTTTTGGCCTGGATGTCAATCACAACAGCTGCTTCTATCTCCGTCCAGCAATATGAACAGACGACTGGTCGATCTGTTCAACTGGCCCGCCCTATTTGCATACTGGAGCTTGACAGCTGGCTTCCCCCGACTGGCTTACCCCATGTTACCCAGCACGTTTCAATGGAGGACACATGTCCAGCCACACACAACATGTCCCGAGTCCTTCAGAAGACGTCCTCAATCTATTCTTGATACGGAATGCTTGTCTCACATACCATAGTGTTGTGAGCATGCGTTGGACGGCTGGACGGGTTGAGACAGGCCATTGTTCAGAAATAATCTCAATCCAGCAACCCAATCTTGCGATACCTGGCATTCGATCAGTCAGCCCAACCTCTCATGTATTCCATTCCGTGATCAATCGATAGGCAACAATAACCCCGCACAGTCTGATTGGGGCTTTTCCCTGGATATTTTTGCGGTTCACCTGCCGGGCATGTCCGCGAAGCTATTTGTCGCTGATGCTACTCTGACAGCGCATGGGGGAATGCAGTTTTGCTTTTTCTCGACTTCATCGTACCATTTCCTTATATCTGATCCACGGGTATAAACCCGTTCCCTTCAAAAACACTCCAACAGAATTAGACCCGAGGCAAGCAACAGGTTTGGCACATGAGTGGACTGTGGCCAGATCCTCACAGCTAGTCATCAATCATTCAGGCATTGATATTCTAACAGATCCTCATAAGCTTTTGACACATGAATGTCGACCACGTACCGCGTCGTCGGTTTGGTTCGGATTCATATCAGCCAATCTCGGCACTAGCTATACGATCCATCCCTGATGAGGCAATCAGTCGATATCTAACACACTGTCTTCGTATGTTCATATCACTGCAACGACAGGGTTCCTATCGTTATCCATTCGCTAACATATACTATTCCACAACCCTGACAATTCTTATGTACCAGTATGCTATTCGTGGTTCCGAATAGCCATTTGCTACATTCAAATGCCCACATGGTGCATCTGGTTGATCAAGAGCATACCGCATGGTCAAAAGTAGGCAGATAAAAGACCAACTCTTTGGAAATGTCGTCGTCCAACCCTCTGTTACCATAATCCAAGTGCTGTGACTTGGTAACTTGTTGCTCGACTTAAACTTACAAACCAACTCGTGATGGGACCAGAGTTCCTGCCTGGAGAACTTGATTAGCGTATGTATGCGCTTGGAAACCACATGCTCGACAAATAGTCCACATACGAAACAATTCATTGTGATTCTGGGAGCCGGAACTCGGAAATCACCATGCCTAAGGTGCAAGTCCTTGCGGTATGGTTAGTAATGCTCCCCGTCATCATCCTTATCCTCACGATATCCAAGAAGGGCTTGGTCTACTTTACATATCGTTGAACCTGGCCTCCTAGAAGCTTCAGTCCCTGCAGCCGCCCTTGCTCCCGGTCGACAAGGATGGCATGGTGGACATGCTGGCTTGAGCACTCGCATGTTCTGCACAGCGGCTATGTAGCTGCAAGTCTAAAGGCTGACCAATTAAAAATGCATTATCATCGGGAAGAACAAACATGGGCCCCTGTTGGGGCGTTTCAAAACCAACCAGCCGTCCTCAGGCCCGCGTGTGAGCCCTCTGAGTCTAAGCGGCCATTGACTGGACTGCTCCAAGATGCCGTGGGGGAGCCTGGTCGCCAAGACTTAGCCAGTGAGTTCAGTCGCCACGTTTACCTTCTAGAGCCTTAGGGCGTCCACTACCTGGCACACCGGTGCGCGTTAGTCAGTCGTTGGTGGGGGATCCTGACTCTAGTCTACCCGTTCGTCGTGCTGTCAGATGCAGATGGCACAGTGGGAAGAGCAACTGGGGCCTGGGCTGTTGAGTGTTGACAAAAGTGCCCCACCGAGTTTGGCCATGTTGAAGACTCTGGCGATTTTCTGTTCCGAGGCTGGCCTCCAGCCGAGAAACATGTCGGGAGCATTCAAGTTCTTGGAGGAGGCAGGGAAACTCACTGAGTCCCAACGCTTGAAGTTCCATACAGTCTCCAAACAGTGAAGCAATTGCAATACTACAAGCCATGTACGACGAGTGTCGAGCTTCTCTTGCGGCTAACTAGGAAGCTATGATGGCATTTCGTTCTGGCCCAGTCGCTATATCTCAATCCAATGATAGCTCACCACGTCTCTAGCACACCACCCACCGCCGCCACCAGCTCCTCAACGACCAGGACGCAACCTCGATAGACTCCGAGGTCATCGGATGAAGCTTTCAGATTGCTTGTCTGTCCTGTGTCCGCATCTTCTCGGTCATTGTCTCCCGACGGTCTCTGGACGTGCACATCGTGCAAGACCTGCTACCAATTTCTTGCCACAGTCCAGGGAATAATGCATCGTGAACTTAACCTGAAGTTTGTGACTTGCCTGCAATCACCAGAGCATGGCAATGGTGCTTTGAACGACTCCGGGATGTTTTGCCCAGTGCCATGGATGCTCACCCCGGCCTCCGGAGTTCGGGGCTTTGTCCACATACTGCCGCTGCGTTCTTAATCCCCAGATGCGATCTGGCAGCGCTTAGTGCGCTCCTGTAACTCTGCCTTGGAGCCGACCCTGTTGAGAGATCTGACCTATGCTTGCATACGCACCCAATTTCATGCTGCGAGTTCTCCATCATGTTGATGGAGCAGTAGGTCGCGGTCTTTCCAGGGACTGTGGCCTCTGTCGTGTATGGTATCAAAACCATATTGAAAGAGCCTTGAAGTGCCGTCAGTTTTTTGCGCCCCGATAGTGGCTTTTTAGAGCCTAGTGTTACCCTCACCGCTATTCTCTGACCCAATTGTACCTTTCAGTGTGAGATGTACACTTGTACAGTACTGGCCTCTAACGCGACCCCCTTTGTGGTGGCCTTGGGCGTCAGTCAACAAGGGTGGCCTTGTTATGATAACGGCACGACTTGGCTGCCAGCTCACTTCAAGCTCCACAAGGCCATAACCAAACAGATCTCAAGGGAAGCCAAGCCATGATAGCATCGTTCCCTGTCAGCATCATGCTGGTTGGAGCTTGACGGGTAAGTAGCATGTATGTACTCCGCATCTGCTAGTGGTGGTCCACAAGGGCCTCAGTGAAAATCAGACTGAAAGAGTCTTGCGTGACACAGGCTGTCCTCATCGAGATATTGCAGGATCGCATCATGATCATGGCTACGTGGGAAAGGTGCCACGGCTTGGGGAAGGTCTCAGCCTCAGAACCACCTGGGGACGATTCAGGACGATTCAGAAATTATATCGACAACGGGAAAACATTGCATCGTGCCTGGTGCCTTCAATTGCATTGCGTGAAGTGACAATATCGCGATTCTATGTGCTGCCCACTCCGTTAGCCTTCCCGCACATCACATCAAGCAGCGGGGTGTTTGAGGGGCTGGAGGGACATGATGGCTATCCACCTGGCAGCTAATGTACGGAACGGGAAGCCTTCATGCATGCACGCGTACATGCATGCAGGCCGGGCGACCGTGGTGTTAATTCGTAATGTACGAATATGTGTTTCAACAGAGCACGAAAGATCCTGACAAGCCAAAGGGTATGGCCTATCTGCTAGGGACACATGGAGGTCGATGGGCAGAGGTGGCTGAGAAGCCGGGATGTCATATCTCCTGACTTTGGCGGCCAAGGTCCTCAACGATGGGTTCCTGAGGGAGAGCCCCTGATTTGAGCAGCATATTCACAGAAGCACATAACTAATTCAGATGACAGGAACTTAATGAAGCAGACGGCCGCATCTCGTTTGTGTGTATGCATCTGCTGGGGCGGCCCATGTCAGCATGTCAGTCACTCTCGATCGAGGAAAAGGGACGAAAATAGCAGTGGGAGGATGTGTTTAATTCATTGTGCTCCTGGTCGAAGATGCTATTACCCTCCATGCCCATGTGATGCAAAGCCTCAATCAAGCCAAAGTTATAGTACTAATGTACTGTGCAGATACCTCTTTGCCATACGCCAGATCACAATATCTCTGTTATTTCAGAGAGGGGTGCTGCAGGTATGTTATGCATACTGTAATGTACGTACAGATGATTGGAGGTGGTGCTTGAAATGCTGGTCTGGATTATTGGTGGCAAATGCTTTCGTTTGTTGAGCAAGGCAAGGAAAGGATAGTTTTTGGTCAACGCCTCCACCTCGTCTTGGGTTGTATCGAGTTCCAAAGATCCTGGTCGAGCCGTCAAGCGATCGGTCTTTTGTGTTTGGCATTGTCCGAATCCATGAAAAATTTGAAGGTTGAGGCTTGTTGGCCAAGAGGGAGGAAGGGACCTAGACAATCTAATATCTTTACGAAGGGGGAGGAAAGAGAAATTGGGTGGCCCAGGACTGTGACATGACATGACATGAACATGAACATGAACATGGAATGGCCAGGGCTGGAGTCGCTGGTGCCTGTACGGAGTAGGTAACTATGTACGTAGAAGCAAACTCGGCGAGACGAGACGGGCCGTTCACCAGGTGAATGTTCAAGGCCGAGTTGCGAGAGGAATGGGCCTTTCAGACAAGGATCAACGTGATGAAGTTGAGGGTGACAGGGATACATGAGATGTGTTATGTGATTGACATGGCACCAACTGGTCCAGGCAATTCGTGTATCATGACAATGTATATTAGGTCTGGGCGCAAGGGTCAGAGGATGGTCAGAGGGCAGCCGTGAGGGATTGAAGAGCTGAGACTGAGAGGGAGGGAATTGAACAGGATCGAGCCCGCATGTCAGATAGAGAGAGGCCTCAGCCGAAGTCCAGGCCTAAGCCCAAGCCCGGCCCTGACCCTGAGCTTGATCCTGAGCCTTGCATGACACACATACTTTTATCAAGGTGATAGATGAGAGTCGAGGTGACATGTTCAACTGAGCTTGCTTATTAGGTACTGTACGCACCTGGGTTGAGGTGGGCGCGCGGCTCTACCCGCCCGCTGCAGCGCGTGAGACAGGTTGCAAGCCGCGGATGCATTCTAACTGCATAGTAGTCTAACATATGTCATGTAATGCCATGCCATGCCATATCCTGCTACTCTTGCCTGCCAGGAGGTCTGCCTGCCTAGATAACGGGGATTTTGGGTTTGGTTAATCAACATATCTTACTCTGTACCGCAGCAAACTATTGGCCGCTTCAGGTATATGGCCTACCAGGTTCATCGTGCACAGCACAGCACTAGTTGGAGCGATGCCCGTGATATTACATATATCCAATGCACATCATGTTTGCAGCGGGCTTTGTTGGCATCCTCCTTCATCCAATAAGGGACTGGGTAATTCACTGGACTATGATCTTTGCTCTCCCCTTCCGGGCTGGGCAGTGAGAACAGAATAAAGGAGTGTATCCTGTCATGTCGATTGAAGGTTTTGATGATGGTGAACAGACAATATTCGTCCCCGTTCCCCTATTCTGACACCACAAATCCAACTAGTTCTGTCATGAATCAAAATGGAATGGACAGCATGCTAAAATAAACACACCGTATAAAAGACACGGAAACGACATGCGATAATGTAGTCAAATGTAAAATGATTTAATTTCAACTACTGCTGAAGTGGTATCAAAGTATAGGGTAGGCGCTTTAATCAGACTCATGTGACTACGCGTATAGGTCCTGTACAAGTCAACAAGAAAGTCGTGGATATAGTAGTTAGTGACACGCGCCAGCGCCAAAAGCGGACACAACATGACACAAAGACAAGAAAATGACAGTAACGCACCCCCACAAGACAAAGAACGCTTCATCATCACATCACAACTCACTCAAAACTGGAACCGGTGATGTTAAGCCATAACCCTCCGTCATAAGCGAAAAGAAAAAGAAATGCCACACCCTATACGAAAGGCCGCCAAGCCTCAACACGCTGCATCTTTTGACCCATGGAACTCATCGTCAACCGGCCACCAACGTCCGGAATCATGCCCCGGAACTGGCTGGCGCGAGTCCCGTAACCGCAAGCTCAACAGCCAATTTCGCAGCGGCTTATCCGGTGGAGAGCGTCTGAGCGACACATGGGGTGCTGGCTCAGAGGATTACGATGTGAAGCGCAAGATGTTGGTCCCCAAGGCCGTGAAGGAAAGGGCACAGCGGAGCGTAAAGGATATGCTCGTGCAACCAGGCAAGATGCGTGAGAGTCTGGGGGTGAAGGACGAGGCTCAGGGAAAAGGATATGAAGCACTTATGGAATCAAGAAAACTGGAGGACGAAGAGAGAGAAGCAGAGCTACCTCGCCGACGGATGTTTGATGGGGTGACTGTTTACGTTAACGGGAGTTGTTTCCCCCTCATATCAGATCTCAAGCTCAAGCAGCTTGTCACCGAGCACGGAGGTCAGATGTCACTGCACCTCGGTCGTCGGAAAGTCACCCATGTCATTCTAGGAAGGTCAGCTGGACGATACTCAGGTGCCGGACGAGGCCTTGCTGGAGGGAAACTAGAAAAGGAGATTAGCAGAACGGCTGGATGTGGAGTTAAGTTTGTTGGTGTTGAATGGTACCTGTAACTCTCATTTGTACTTGAGCTACGACTAATGCTATTGATAGGATCCTTGAAAGCCTGCAGGCTGGGAAAAGACTACCCGAAGCACGCTTCTCCAGTACCAAGATAGCACCCAAGGCACAGGACAGCGTATATAGCCTCTTCTCGAGGCAGTCGAGTGGCCAGTCATCCAAGGACTGAGCTGTACTCACCGAGGAGTTATGTCTTTGTTTACCGGAGCCTAGGATAGGGGCCATAAGAAGTTTCGGCCACAACCTACACCTATATCTCCGGTTACGAATGGTCAAACATCGGGGGGTCTTTTGCTTCAAGTAAACGGTCGGTAGCGTGGGATAGGATATCTGTGGTTACGAATGCGGCTGCGATATA